CTTTTCCTTTTGCTTTTCCCTTCCATTTTTTTTTCTCAAGTAACAAAAATATTTGAATTGACTTCAGATAAAAACTATTGGAGGAAGGGAGAGGTCAGTGACCATTTCTGCCCCTACTATGTCAGGGCTACATCCTGGAAAGCCCCGAGGAACTACCAGTAACTGACTATTTCCATGTCATCCACAGTATTAGAAAAAACAAGGCATCATATCGCTTTAGGTGAAATGCATGGCTGGCAACCAAATCCAGTCTGTTACATTCTGTATTTGCTCTTCAGCTCTTCTACTCTGTTGATATAAGCTTTTACAGCACTTTCCTTGGCAGTCTCTTTCAGCTGGTTCCAAGCATCCCATCTTGCCTCTGAGGACCAACATCCCAGGCTGCTCTGTATTTACGTCACCCACAGTGGCTTGTTTGTAATGGCTGTAAATGAATAACATCTCTTGGTCTGATGGCTGGGTCTTGAGGCGCTTAACCTCCTCTACAGCTTTCTCAAACTCAGCCTGAGACATGTTGGCTGGGTTACAGGAGTTCCACAAAGTTCACGTAGGAGGCGAGGAACAGGAAACGAGGGCCTTCCTTTTCTTTTTTTCCATTCCCCCAAACCAGTTTCTCTTTCCTTTTGAAGTTTCTATTTTACAGTATCTATTGTAAATTTTGGATCTTATTTACGGTTTCATCTTCTCACAGTAGGGAGACAATACAACATCTGTACATTTGCTTCTGACATATTTCACTTAGCAGTATGGTCTCGAGTTGCATCCATTTACCTATAGAAGTCTCCAGTTTATCCTTCCTTATGGCTGAGTAACACTCCATTATATAAAAAGACCACATCTTTCTTACCCATTTTTCAATTGAAGGGTATTTAGTTCGTTTCTAAGATCTTATTACAAATTATGCTGCTATGAACATGGGTGTACATATATCACTGTGGTTTGATGTTTTTAAATCTTCTGTGAAGACACCCAGAAGGAGAATAGCTGGGTAGAATAGGACCTCCAAAAAACCTTATTTTTCTTTTTATTTATTTAAGGTTTTTTTTTTTTTTTTTTTTTTTTTTTTTTTTTGTTCCGGTACCGGGGATCGAACTCGGGACCTTGCACTTGCCAGGCAAGCACTTATTCCACTGAGCTATCTCCCCAGCCCCTTATTTTTCTTTTTAAAAAAATTTTTATTAGGACACATGAGATAGCTCAGCAGACTAAGTGCCTGCTTAGGCAAGCTCATGGACTGGGTTTCAATCCCCAGCACCACATGCAGCACTGGCCCTGCCCCTGGGTGGGCTGAGCTGGTGACCAACCAAGACCAGGTGTGGTGGTGCTCACCTATAATCCCAGCATTGGGGAGGCTAAAAAGGGGAGGATATTATGAGTCCAAGCTGCATAGAGACCCTGTACCAAATACATTAAAAAAAAAAGTCATTTATTTATTTATTTAATTTGGTACAGGGTCTAGCTATACAGCTCAGACTTGTAGTGATCCTACTGCCTCTGCCTCCCCAGCTCTGGGATTACAGGTATGTGCCACCATGCCCCAAAACCTTTTTTTTCAAAAATAGTTTAAAAAAATATGCACAAAAGCACTATGAATATGAGATTAGGTATTTTTATGTGTTTTAGGTACTTTTCTCAATTGCTCAGACAAAACACCCAACACCCAAAGTTAAAAGGAGAAAGGATTTTTCTAGTTCATACTTTAGAGAGTTTTCACTCCATTGGCAGCTGGCTCCAAGGCAGGAGGGCATGGCAGAGGGGCTTCACAGTAGAGAAACAGTTCTCAGCAGGCCGATGACAGGAGGACATGGACAGTAAGCAGTAAGTGACCATTTTGTCCCTTATATCCCTTCCAGGCTACCTGTCCTCAGGGTGGGCAGTATTCAAACCCAGGATGGGGTACCCTTAACCCAGAACTATGCCAAACCAATCAATGAACTAATTTATTTATTTACTTTTTAGTAAGCGTCTACAGGGTCTCACTATGTGGATTGGACTCATAGTGATCCATCTGTGTTCAGCCTCCCAAGAGCTGGTATTACAGGCACCTGCCACTATGCCCAGTCTCAAATGCTGGCACAGCACGCTAGGGTTTAAATCCTGGCCACTGCAGCTGCCTAAACAGGTGCTTCAATCCACTGAGTTACTTAGCCAGCCCTAGTGGATTAATTTATAATTACACAGTCTGGATTCCAGCATCACACATTCTAGATCTAGCCACCCCTGAAAAACCCCATCTGTGACCACACAAAGTTTTTGGTGGGGACATCTAGGTATAATCCATAACAACATGTAAGCTATTGTCTGAAGAAAAAATGATTTAAGTAAGGCAATGGAGAAATCAGAAAATATACTTTACCCTGAATGTGATTTTTACCTCTATAGGTAAGTTTTCTTGAGCAGCTGAGGAGTAAAAATATTCATGGTCTGGAGTTAAAAATTCATCTGTTATGTCCTCAGAAGATTCTGGTGAACACGTAGCATGATCCTAATAATAATGCAGGAAATTACATTAAACTGCTGTTCATTGTAAACCTCACTTTTACAGCTGGATGCAGTGTTAATCACAGTGTTACAGAAGGCTACCCAGCAGTGAGCTGAACACTAAGCTGGCTTTCCCAGCTTGTTTGTGTGTGTACCTCTGCTCTTCTTCGTGGTGAAGACAGGCAGTTGTGAACTGCTTGGAGTAAGTGTGGAGGAATAAAGCCCTGGAGTCTCAGCCACTCATCTGCAGAATGGGTAGGGATGGGACCATTTTTCTGTCTAAAAGTCCTTTTTTTTTTTTGGTCTTTTTGAGACAGGGTCTTGCTATGTAGTTCAGGCTGGGCCTTCAACCTACTTTGTAGCCCAGGCTGGCCTTGAATTCCCAGCAATGTTCCTGCCTCAGTCTCCCAAATGCTAGGATTACAGGTCTATGCCACTATGCCAGCTTTGTCTAAAACTCTAAGTGAGAAGACAGGCCTCTGACAACTCAAGCTGAGGACCCAATTTACAACCCCGATGCCTCCAGGGCACAGACAGTCCATAGTCCACAGTCCACACCTCAGCATCAGTCTATACATGAGTCTGAAGCTGCTCAGACCTTACAACTCCTTCAGGCACTATTGTTGAAAGGAAAGTAAAGAAGCAGGGGAAGAATTTATTTTGGTGTTTTTGTTTTGTTTTTTGAGACAGGGTTTCATTGTGCACTGTAGGATGGCCTTCAAATCACCATTGTAGTCCAGGACAGCCTCAACTCACTCCTGCCTCAGCCTTTTTTAAACATGGATTTAGTACAGGGTCTACAGTATTTCACTACATAGATTGGACTCATAGTGATTCTCCTGTTTTCAGCTTCCTAAGTGCTGTGATTACAGGTGCGTGCCACCATATTCTGTCTCAATTACTATCTCAGCCCGCTCTGGGGCAGGGCCAGCAAGGCACAGCAGGGATGGAAATCTGGTCCCTGCATCTGCCTAAGCCTTTTAAGGAGGATTTAAAAAATAACAATGCAACCTTAAGAATAAAAAGTCAAGCCAGTCATGATGGTATGTATCTGTATCCCAGCTCTTGGGAAGTTAAGGCAGGAGGATTGCTGTGAGTCTGAGCCCAGCCTAGACTACACAGTGAGTTCAAGGCCAGCCTGGACTGCATAGTGAAACCCTACCTCAAATAAATAAATAAAATAAAATTACAATATTAAAAAAGTAACAGGCCAGGAATATAGCTCAGTGGCACAAAGACCTGCAAAATTCTCAGTTTAATTTTGATACAATAGAGCATCCCCAATTCAGTCTCTCTTTTTTGCTTATTTTCTCACATTCAGACTTTGCTCATGAAACGCTTAGGGTTAGACAAGTGATTTTTTTCTCCTGTCTTCAGGCATCCCTTTGCAGAGATTTTCAGGGCTTCTTTTTTCAGACATTGCTTTTAAGACAACCTTCCCTGACTTTGTGCTCAAGAGTTGTTCCTCTGTTTTATTTTTTATGTATCTGGTACAGGGTCTCACTAGGCAACTTGGACTTGTAGTGATCCTACTGATTTCAGCCTCCCTAGTGCTGGGATTACAGGCATGTACCACCATGCCTGGTCTTGGTGGGAGTGGTGCTGACCTGGCATATGGGTCCAGGGATCGAACCCCAGTCCCTGTGCTTGCCTAAGCAGGTGATTAGTCTGTAGTCTGCTGAGCTATGTTGTCCAAGAGCTGTTCTTCTTTACCCCTCACAGCAGACCAATACATACCAGATGAGTCTGGCTGTTCCCACACCTTCCCCACTTCCCTCACTAGAACTGCCTCTCCATCCTAGTCAATGTGTTCAACATAGCATGTCCTTCTACCTCTCGCATTACAGAAGTACAGTGTCATTGTGAATGGTTTCTATGATTAAATATGACACTATACTGTGTTTAAAACAGTATTTTATCACAATTATAGTTTTTTTTTTCTCCGAATGCCTTCAGGGCAGGTTTGGCTGGCTTGAGTTGTGGGGATCGAACCACAGCAACCTGAGCCTGACTGCTTTGTTGAAGCAGCCACTTAAAGAACTGAGCTAAGGGGCAGGGCCCCCCCCAATTATAGTTTTATGTATCATTCAAATTGCTGCCTCTATTCTAGAGATGACTTGGGGCCCATATAATTAGTATAATGTTGGGAACCACAAATTCACAATGGCTAACTTTGCATGCTTTCCAAAGGGATAAATCCAGGGTTGGAATTATCCATAATTAAAAGATTCCATGACAAGATCCTTATTAGCATAAGATCATCTCTACCCCTTTGAGTCATCAACCTCTGAGTCCCCCTCAAATTCACCTTGAGTCTTTCAATAATCCCTTCTATCACTGTATATATAAAATAAATAGTGGCTGGCTTGGAGTATCTTAGTCTCTGCCCATCCCGAGGTATTCATCTCCTAGACCACCATCTTGCATTACTAGAGTTGTATTTTATTTCTTTTTAAAATTTATTTGGTTATTTCAGAGTCTCACCACACAGCTTGGACTCGTGGTGATCCTCCTGCTTTCAGTCTTCCCCAGTGCTGGGAATACAGGCATGTGCCACTATGCCCAGACTCTGGCCAACTCAGCCCACCCTGGGGGTGGGACTGGCATAGCATATGGTGCCAGGAATCAAACCTGGCCTGGCATTTGCCTAAGCAGGTGCTTTAGTCCATGGAGCTATCTCGCCAGCCCTGTTTTTTATTTCATCCTTTCACCATACCCCTCATAGTTAGGTATCTTGGCCAGATCCCCAATATGTGGTGCCTGAACAGGGAAATTCTAGTTAGGCCTGAGAGAGATCAATCCTAGCGGAAGGAAGAAAACTCGAGATGGCAAAATGACTCTGAGGGATGAATTCACAGTCCTCCAAATATGGAAAGCTTTTTGTAGCTGGGAAAATGGGACAGAAGCAATCTAGAGAGCAGCAGAATTACACCCAACTCTTGCATAAACTGCTTAAACAAGCAGGAACTTGAGTTAGTATTGATACCTTAACTGAACCAGTGCATGAGATTATTAAATTCAATCCTTGGTTTCCACAGATGGAAACCTTAGATTTGGAAGATTGGGATAGGATTGGTGAAAGTTTAAAAAGAGCTCATGGCAGAGGTGAAATAGTGTCATGAGAAACATTTTCCTCTTGGGTTTAGTAAGATCTGTTTTAGAATCCTTAAACTCTGTATCATCTAAAATGCCAATGCTAGCGCGTACTGGGGAGGATGGTAATAGAAAACAAAAATGAGATGGAGACGAGAGCTGACAATTACAACAGGAAAAAGTGTTGATGCATGGGAAGGTAAAATTTTCCCTAGAATCAGGGAAGAACTAAGGGTGGATACAGTTGATAGGGAAATAGGGAAATTCCAGGCCGGCACCTGCAGGTCACATAAGTTAGAGCTGCCTCATGCCTTGCGTGTTTAGTTATCAGGCAGCAGTCTGAGAAGCAGCCAAGCAGGGAGAAATTCTTGGATCCTTTTGATCTCCCAGTGATCTACAGACCTGACTTAGATAATCAGAATCAGCTGTGGGCAGAACAGCAAGCTTTTGATTTTGTTAAAGGAATTAAGAGTATAATTAATAATGGAGCTCAAGACCATTTACCTTGGGGATTTTATTTATTTTTTATGTATTTGGTACAGGGTCTGTAGGGTTTCACTACGTAGATCAGATTTGTAGTGATTCTCCTGTTTTCAGCCTCCCAAGTGCTAGAATTACAGGTGCACGCCACCATGCCCAGTCTCAATCACAGTCTCAGTGTGCCCCAGGGGTGAAGCCGGCAAACAGGCTGGGATTTAACCTGGCTGCTGCGCTCTGCCTACGCAGGCGCTTTAGTCTGCTGAGCTGTGTAGATGGCCCTTACCTTGGGGATTTTAGATCCTATTGTGGAGACTCATCACTTAACGCCTAACAGTATGAGACATCATGCCTGCTCCTGTCTGGCTCCTACTCAGTACTTATATTAATAGTCAACTGCATGAGCAAGCTAAGGACCAGGCTGACCGAAACAGATGGGATGACAGGGTTAACGTAACTGTAGAAATGTTATTTGGAACAGAATAACTTGCAGATATAACCCAATAATCACAGTATATCAATGAGACTTCTGAACAAATAGGACACATAATGAAAAGAGTGTAGCTTACTGTATGCCTGAGGATGGGGTCCTGTCCAGTCTTTCCTTAATATCTTACAAGGGCTGAGAGAACCTTATACATAGTTCATGGCCCAACTCTTAAGAAGCCATACACAGACAAATTCCTCATGCTCAAGCAGCTGACATACTTGTTCTTCAACTTGTTTATGACAGTGTCAACCAAGACTGTAAACAGGCTCTGGCCACCAGGCGAGCTTCTAAAGAGTTAAAAGTTACATTAAGACTTGTCAGGAAAAGGGGCCGGGGAGATGGCTCAATGGAATAAGCACTTCCCTGGCAAGCGCAAGGGCCTGAGTTCAATCCCCGGTTCCGCAAAAAAAAAAAAAAAAAAAAAAAAAAAAAAAAAGACTTGTCAGGAAAAAACAAAACAAAACAATAGCAACAAAAAAAATTTGTCAGAATGTTGAATCAGTTTGGAAACTCACAGGGGATCTGTGTTAGCTGAAGCTAAGTTGGCTTTTACAAAACAAGGTAAAAACAGTAATGCCAAAAATGTTACATCTTTTAATTGTGTTAAAATGGGACATCTTCTCTGACAATGTTCAAAAGCCAAGTGATAACTCTAACACCTCTGGAACTTCCACCAACTCTAGTCTGAGAAATAAGGAGGCTAAACCAGGTTTTTGCTCAGGCAGGTGCTTATGCCCTTGAACTATATCCTAGGCCCCAAAAGGGTCATCACTGGGTTAGACATTGCCAGTCCAAATATCACAC